TTTACTCCGAAAAGACATGGTCCTGCGAAAGAGTACATGATCTCTTGTGGGTTTGGAACGCTTCAACAGCGGTACTATATGGCAGATAATCCATCAATTCCACATATTGGTCGCTCAAAAGGGCACTGGTTTAAACAGAGCTCACAGTGTCAAGGTGCACAATGATACATGTCAAAGGAAATTAAGCCAATTTGTTCGATCTTCTATTTTCTTGACAAAACGTTTGTTGGATTTGTCTCATCTTTGAAGATCCACACGGTCAACTGTGGTTTTGTTTCGGACTCATACGTATATATCCATGATCCGTCACCTGTGAAAATCTCATAAACATCTTTTAAAGTACCGCTATTGAATTTTTTTAAAAATGTTTTTACACCAACTTACGGCTAGTAGTTTACGCAATACCAAATATATGCAGGTGGAATAAATGCCTAAGGATACCTATTTCTCATGGTAGATAACATGGTGAGGAGACATGACCGTTTGTGATCGACCTCCATTTTGGAGCGAAACCTATTTTCCAGGAGAAACGAATATCCTAAAGAAGCTCTGCTTGTATATTTTCAATTTTTGTTGCGGATATAATCCAATATGTACATAATAATATATACACAAATAGTTATCCGCGTAGTAGCAACGTGTTTTTAGTGACCAATGACGAATACTTTGAAAATATGAAATGACCAACATTTCAGAACGCCATTTTGTAGTTATGTTAATTAAATTAGCATTAAAACGGGTAAAAGCAAGTACCCTTTGCCACTTGACAGAAGCACTAGTATTACAGAAACAACAACTCTTTTTTCATTTAAATTTCCTCCTCCATTTTTTTTGTTTTATGTACATTTAGTTATTTCCTGATTTCAGAATTGAAATAAACCAACCAAGCAAGAAAACATGTAGATTTAATGATAAAAAAATTCAACGGTACTTGAACTTTAACTGATGACCTGCTTTAGCAAATTTTATGCCGTTTTTCATCATCATCAGCGTCATTATTACCAGGTTAAACATTCAGATTGATTGCAGAATGTTGTTGGTGTAGTAGTAGTTGTTGTTTTTCTAGTTTATGTTCATGGTCGTAGTTGAGCTTTTTAGTGCATACGAGTGCATATGTTGGTATGTGATGCACATTTTTATTGAAACACTGAGAGATTTGATTTTAATTGAATTGGAAATAAGAGGTCTGTTATTTGGTGCTCAACTGAGCAAATAATCGAAATGACTAGTTGTGTCAGTTGTAAAAAATAGGTATTTGTTTCTATATTCTGCGCTACACAGAGGCTTGCAAGCAATGTTATACCCTCCAAGACCTAATGGAGAGTACATTAAGATTTTAAATACTCAAAATAATCATTATAAAATCTATATATTTTCTTGATCTTGGAATACTTATGTGTCGATTTAGAAATGTTCGTCCGTTTGTGACATTCAGGACGGGATAGACATATATCTTGGACTATAATGACCCATTTCAAATATCAAGCATTCTTGAAGAAATACATATTAATGTTTTTCTGTAAACATTGTAAGATTAATGATAAAGAATAATCAATAGATTATATTAAATTTATATTCTTGCTATTCTTAGAAAGTACAAAACTCGACGGTATGTTATGGGATGGGTAGAATATGTAGTACATGCTCACTTATTGATAAAGTACCCGATTTAATGAGAACGTCACTCGTTAATATCTGCTAAAATATACCTACCTTCTGCTAAAAATATACCTATATGTCAATGGTAACGTAAAAAAAATTCCAAGGAATATTCTTTTAAGAAATTTTGCATATAGGATAGGTTCTGCACAAAGAAGACCCCTATTCTGGTCGCTGTAGAGGCCACAATTATGACCCAAAACCACGAAATTTTACTCCAGTCATGGAATCTGGCGAAATAATAAGCATGACTGTTTTGATGAAGATCGGTCAATATTTAGCGGGTCAAATGAACTCAGAATTTTATGTGAAAATTGCCAAAATTTGTATTCTGTGGCGTATATATTTACTCCTGAAGGACATCGGACATACAGTAGTGTTTGGCCTTTAAATTGATATCAATTATATTGTTGTATGTACTCGGATAAGGAGTTATACGTGCGTATTTAAAGGTGTCTATGTGTTATGATATTTTTTAGTATTACTATTACCCCACTAGAAGCCGCAAATGTCGCGTTGATCGCTTTGAAATTTCACCTCAAGTTTCGATTATAGTCAAGGACGGCGCCTATAATTTTCGGTGATGAGGAAATGATATTTAGGGGGTGCAATGAACCGAAAACTTTTTTGTCATATTTTCTAGTCGCTCTAGATGGCTAGAACTTCACATATATTTTTCACGTTGAAGGGGATCTAACTAAATAGTTAGAACGCCTGTTTTGATGATGATCGGTCAATATTCCGAGGATCAAATCAACAAAAACTTAAAGTGGCAAAGTTGTTATTTTATGGATTAAATATTCGCCTTGGAAAAACCAAATTTATAAAATATGCCAGGGTTAGAAAGTGGAACTGTTGAACTATAATCGGTCTTCGCGGTACATATCGCGAAATATTGCCCAGGATCTAAATATAGAACCGCAGAAAGTTAGATTTTAGTGATATTTCTGTATGATATCATATGGTCGGCCCCGTCCGACTATACTGCTCAGCTAACTGTTTAAAACAAAGCTTTGTTTTAAACAGTTTCGATAATACCAGGTTTTGGTATTATCGAATATTATAGCTGCATTTTATAACGATATGGATGTAATTAATTTTGAGTTCTTGGCGGATAATAAACCTCTTTGTAGAACATTTCCAATATGTTTATATGCTTTGACATAGATCACTCCATTTTTTATATATTTAAGAGTTTCCAAGCCACTACGGTGTAATGTGGAGGATGATGAATTTCTTTGAAGGAAATGCCCAATATTGGCTTTGAAAATTTTTACGAACCTACACGAATTTTCCCTACCGATGTAGTTGTAATTTGGCATTTTGAATTATGGTGAGATGGCGACAAAAATTAAGCGGGACTTATTTTGAACATGTTTTTTTACCAAGAACCAGGCAAACTAAATTACAGCCTTGGAAATGCGAATAAAACCCTCAAGTAACCGACATTTGGATGGTTGTTTTACATACTTGTTACACCATTTACTTTTAAAATGTATACCAGCCTCAAAAACCTCGAAATGCCAGAGTATTGCCTTTTCGGTTAAAAATTCGCCTAAAATCCTGAAAATTGGAAGGGATCTGTGATTTAAAGGAATCTTTTTCTGTGCACATATATGACAGCCTCCAAAGGTCCGAAAGGCCACATTAGAGCCTTTTCGGTCGAAACATGCAGCTGAAACCTTCAAAATACCTAAAAAGTTTGTTCCCATATATGGGAGCTTTATTAAAACGTGGACCGATATACCCTATTTGCTATACAACACAACCTAGAAGCAGTGGCAAAATAAATATTTTCATCTCTATCCTGATTCCAGTATGCAGACGGCTACATCGACATAAAATTGTATTATAATCTAGAAAATATATAATTTTTGGGGTATCCGACGATTAATATATACACGATCTTATGGTGGAAGGTGTACAGAATTTTCTAACCAAACTAATTATATATAAATCGGATAAAAATTATCTAGTCCGACAACATAACCTACATATAAGATTTCGACCGATTCTTGGTATATTTTGGTATGCGCACAGTATTGCGTAGGATATAAAAAAATCGGTCCGTTCTAACATAACATTGTTTCCACATTTTGAACAGAAACATAAAAACCAAATGACAGAAACATTTTCTACTTTGAAAAGCGTCCTTGGTACCACCTGACGCTTTACAAAACATCTAACCATACCTTTAGATTTTTTGAAATTTCAATTAATTTAATACGGTACATATTTTAACTAAGCTTGGCACCGGGTATTTAAGAATCCATTCGAATAGTTTTCCGAATATAGAGTCTATTGGATAAACGTGGCATCATTAGAAGCTATACCTCAATCTGAACCTGCGGATGATGCCTCCTCCATACCATCTTTCAAACGAGCATTTTGTTCTTTATGTCACTATCCTACCCCATTTCCAAAATTGAATTCATATGTAACAGTAATATTATTTATACTGGACCATTAGAGGGAGATCCAAAATATATCTTATTCCTTTCGCATAATTTCGAAAATATAATATCCCTGAATAATTCAGCTAATGCAGATTAGAGCGCGAAATAGCCGTCATTGCCTACTCTATCCCTTCTACAGTTTATCTTTTCGTATATTCCCATTTATATTTAAAAAATAAAAAAATTGATTGTCAAAAGTCACAGGCAACCAGTGAGTGTTCTGAGCTTTAGTGGAGGGAATTGTGCACACTAAACCCTCAAATCAGATTTATGAATGATGGACAGTGGTTTACTTCGGATACATTAAAAGATATGAATGAACATGTGAATGAATCGTGGTGAGACAAAAAGCTTGCACACACACACATAAATAATATCATTGACACCACATCAACACGGTGTTGAGCTGGACTGACCAAACAGCATTCAAACCAATGACATTTCATCTTCTCTAGCACCGACCAGACATCATTATAATCAGTAGCATTATTATCATTGACCGGACAGCAGCAACCGCAATTCTTTTTTACTGTGTGTGTCAATGTATGTGTGTGTTTGGTTTCAATTCAATTATTCAATTTACAAAAAAGAACGGTAGGGAGAAAAAGAGAGAGAGTGGTCACACAGACTCACATTCATGGTCCATGGAGAATACTTTTTAGTTGAGTATGAACAAAAGTAAAAAACCCAAATCATTTATTATCCATTTATCATTATGTCCGGACGTGCAAAATTTCGAATTTAAAAATAAAAAATCTGAAAAGAATCCGAAAAAAACATTTCAACAACGTAGCACTACTACTTTCGGGAAGTACAGTGTAGTGTAGTGATAATCACTGTCTACGTTTGTTGTTGTCGTTTTTTCTGTAGTTTTTAATTTTCCTATAACAATTATACATTTCAAACATTCATTAGCATATTGTAATCAAGCTCAATTAGCCTCACTAATGTCTCGTTCAAATTCAACTTGCAGTACTGCCACGGACTCATTGCCATCAACATCTTCATCGGCCTCGACCAGCGATACTCGTGCCACAGCATCTTCGGCACTGACAACAGCAGCAGCAACCACGACATCCCTGTCGTATCGTGATGAACAGCCGCAGGCAATTGTAAGCACAGCTCAAAAATTACCGACAGGTCGTCAAATGAGTAGTCATCATCACTATCATCTGCCCCACCAATTTCAGCATCCCCACCATCAGAATCATCATCCCCATTCGCATGGGGTAGCGGTGCCCACTCCGACGGTGCCAGCTTCTTACACCAGTTCAAGTCTGTTACACGAATCTCGGCATATTCGAGCGGCCAGCAGCAGTGGCGATGAGGCAATACGAACCGCACTTACCTCACCGGCCACCACGGTAACACCTTCGACGAATCTCTTGGTATCACCGGAAACAGTATCTCACACATCGTCAGTATCGCCTGCCAAATTATCGGCACGTATACGTGAATCGGGTTCACAGCATCGTGTAACTATCGATGAATCCAATTTGCCCGTGGCCTCGCAATTGACTTGTGGCGGTGATGATGGTGGCGGCGACGGTGGTGGTGAGGGCGGTAACGGTGGTTCGGGTCCTCCATCGCCGGGTATGTCTTCACACCAGCAGCTGACAGGCGACGAACGACAGACTGGTCATTTAGCGTTAATGTATCACTCTAGTCAGCTGTCCAGTTATCCAGTGTTGCCAGCCATCAAGAGAACACATCGTCCTTCGTTTATCTATCCACCGATGCCGAGAGTTAAAAAGTGAGTATATATTTTATAGTTTATTTGTCGGTGTTGTGAAAACTTGAAAGTTAAATGTTTAGAAAAGTGAACATATTTTGTGAATTGAATATTTCCCGATAATCGTGGAAAATCAAGGGAGTCGAATAGAGTATTTTAGTGTTTAAAAAAATTCTCTTGGTAATATGATATGTGGTATTATTTTCGTGAGATTGCGGAAAATTGGATGTTTCGACTGAATTTGAAGAATATCTCTCAATTAAAATGTTGATATCCTCACGTATACGAAGTGAAAAATACGCTGGAGTGTATTAAATGTGTCATTCCGTTTGCTAAGACCGAAATAGATGTGTATAAACTGTATATTTCTACGATATTTGTTGTTGCCAAAGTGATGTCACCAGATGTAGACATCATATTACGGTTCTGCTAATACTCGGTTTTATCGGCACGATTTCAACGGTATTGTCTTCCTACCAATCGGTATCGACCTTTCTTCTTGAACGTAAAAAATTTAGTTCGAAAAAAAAAATTGACGATATAACTCCATTTTTCGCCATTACCACCCCACATAAAGGTTCCGCCCATTGTCGTTTACCATTTTGGCTTCTTGAAGTGTAAAAAACTTTTTCCAGATGCCGCATATTTTCGGTATCTAAATGAACCGAATTAGCCAAATTTCGAACGTCGGTATTTTGTTTAGAGGATAAAAGTTGTTTAGAGGATAAAAAGTACATAATGTCCGTCTGACCATGTTTTATGGTAAACAACGTGCACGTCCCATTTATCATTCATATGTGATAAGATTTGGTTCGATTCAGTGTTTCCGCACCAAAAACAAACCGCATTTAAATTAAGGGGACTATCCACTTTCTCGGTTTCAAAAACCGATTTTTATATATATACAGTGGTGGCCACAGAATTAAAACATTTACTGTGGTAAACATTTTTTGATCAGCCCTCGATTCGTTTGAAGTATTTTTGAAAATTTTTTAATTCAGAACACTTCGATATACTGCACTTAAGAGATTTAGTGTGGAAATGGAAAATTATTTCATGCAATTTTTCCATAAATAACGGTTTTTATGAAAATACATCGACTTTGAAGTGGCCATATAATTAAAACATTGTGTAATTTTTTACTTTACTGCATTTTTTTTTTAATATTTTTTAAAAAAGCTCTTTAATTTAGTTAAATTATGTAAACTAAGCACCGATAAAATCATTTACTGATAAAAATTTTTGAAAAAAATCTGTAAAATCTATCAAATTGCCAAAAATTTGTACAGTACACCTTACATTCAGAAAATAACCCTTATTATAGAAAATAAAGGTCCGAATGCACCAGAAATTGCTAGAATTAGTAAAAAACAATAAATAATTCTCAAAATAAATAAATATTTGAAATAAAAACTTAAAAAATGGGAATTAACCTAAAGGAACGATTCAATTTCAATAGCCTTTACTGAAGAAGGCCGGAATATTTTTGCAGTATGTGAGAAAATATCGATTGATATTGGTATTTATTATATCAAATCGATTGTTCGAGTAGTACAGAATATATTTAATCAAAAAATTTATCAGTCACAACAGAACGAACAGAGATCAACACCTATGTTGACGAGAAAACGTTTCTGGTACACAGCAGCATGTTTGATGGTTAACTCTTGACCCTTCAAATCTATTGAACATGACAATATTTTTCCAAAATAATATTTTTTGGAGAGAATAATGCCCATTTAATCTATTTTAGCCTAAAAGAAAGAAAAATTTTACAATTTGACAAATATTTAAAGTCTTGTGTTGAGCATCAAAAATGCTGCTGTGTGGCGGAATCTTTTACTCGTCAACATAGGCATTGATCTCTGTTCTTTCTGTTGTGACTGGTATATTTTTTGATAAAATATATTCTGTACTACTCGAACAATCGATTTGATGTAATAAATGCCAATATCAATCGATATTTCCTCACATACTGCAAAAATATTCCGGCCTTCTTCAATAAAGGCTATTGAAATTGAATCGTTCCTTTAGGTTAATTCCCATTTTTTAAGTTTTTATTTCAAATATTTATTTATTTTGAGAATTATTTATTGTTTTTTACTAATTCTAGCAATTTCTGGTGCATTCGGACCTTTATTTTCTATAATAAGGGTTATTTTCTGAATGTAAGGTGTACTGTACAAATTTTTGGCAATTTGATAGATTTTACAGATTTTTTTCAAAAATTTTTATCAGTAAATGATTTTATCGGTGCTTAGTTTACATAATTTAACTAAATTAAAGAGCTTTTTTAAAAAATATTAAAAAAAAAATGCAGTAAAGTAAAAAATTACACAATGTTTTAATTATATGGCCACTTCAAAGTCGATGTATTTTCATAAAAACCGTTATTTATGGAAAAATTGCATGAAATAATTTTCCATTTCCACACTAAATCTCTTAAGTGCAGTATATCGAAGTGTTCTGAATTAAAAAAATTTCAAAAATACTTCAAACGAATCGAGGGCTGATCAAAAAATGTTTACCACAGTAAATGTTTTAATTCTGTGGCCACCACTGTATATATATATTGATCCTAGACCCACCTTCTCATCACAACTAGCATATTCGATCTAGACATGTTTGTCCGTCCGTCTGCCCATTATAAACACGTTACAGGCCACAGTTACAATTGACGAGAAATTTTTCATGTAGGACGGTCAAAGAAAACCTCCATTATTTTTGATAGCGATCGGTTAATATTTAGGGCATGAAATGGGCTAAATATTTTATTGTTTTCGTTTTCCTGGTCGCTCTAGAGGCCACAATTTTTACCTGAACATCACGAAATTTTACATAGAGGAAGGGATATGACCATGGAATAAGCATGACTGTTTTGATGGAGATCGGTCAATATGGACCTAGACTTTTGTGTGATAAATTACAAAATTTATATTCTATGGCGTATATATTTACACCTTTAGAACATGTATCCAAGAGGAGCGGTTGATACGAGTAATATTGTTGTATGTACTCGGATGTGGGAGTTATACAAAAATAATTATAGATGTCTATGTAATTTGATTTGGTTATGAAATGATACATACAGTTCCGGTTATGTTGTGGAACGACACATACACATTTTGGTGATGATTAGCTGATATTTAGGATATGAAATGGGTCAAAAACTTTTTCTGCATGGTTTCCTAGTCCCTCTAGAGGCCACTAATGTAAGCCGAACATCAAAAAAAAAAAAAAAAAAAAAAAAATTACACGGGGATAGTATCTGTTCAACAATTTATTTAGGGTCAAGTAAACCAAGAATTTTGTATGTAAAATAGACAAATTTTAATTGTGCGGCGTAAATGTTTATTCCGGGAGAATATGATGCGTAAAATATGCCAGTGTAAGAAAGTGGAGCTCTTGACCTCTACTTGAATTAGAGGGTGCAAATACCGCGAAGTTCGCCAGGCACGGAATATATGTAGATAAGCAGAAAATTAGAGTTCGGTGCTAGTTGTGTAGGGTATCATATGGTCGGCCCCGTCCGATTTTACTACTCGGCACACTGGTTTTTATTTCATTTGAACCTATTACTTCTCAAGAATGTATCTTTCAAATTTCAAATGAAAATCTCAATTATTCTTGAAGATATACCGGAATTATTTTGTCAGCAGCAAGTGATGGCAAGAGTTATTCTCAAACGCGTTATTCTCAAGACAATGTTTTTACGGATGGGGGACATGATAAATAAAAAACGGTTCAAATTTTAATATGTTAGTTCGGACCTACATAGTTATTGTATAAACTAGAATAAATGTAATCGGCTAAGATTTTAATTGCAAAATTTGAACCGAAATATAAATTTTCTTGTGCTAAAATTTGAATTTCAAACCTAATACCATGTGTACTAAATTTAGTACAATTTAGAACTTTTCGTACACTTTTCTTCACCTTAATAACGACCCCAAGATTCTAGCTTTTCTTATGTTTTGCAAAGTTACCAGCCGCCCTCTAGGCTACAAAAATAGTACTAGTTTTGTAGCCTTAAGCGCTCCTTACTCCCTTCCCGGCTGGGATTGACAACTAACTTAAGTTGTCCCATGAAATAGGTTCCTGAACTTTTGTGCAAGAATTAATTTTTATACATGGTACTGAGTTCGTACTGAACCACCAGGACCAGGCACATTTGGAATTGTTCAATTTGGTTCAGATTTTGATAGGAATAATTTTTCACTTCACAAGTTTACGTAGAAAGGTTATTATTCCTCCCGCAATAAGAATTCATAATTCATATTAATTACTCTCATTTTTCCCACAGGGATTACACATTTTCTTTCCGTTTTTTGTTTTGCCATCTTCCCTCACCTCCTTAAAATGGGGAGTGTCATCGTAATTTCTGAATGAAGAAGCTTCCCATTCTTAATTTTGTTACATTTACACAAAGAAGAAAAAGTCATAAATCTTCTACTTTCCATTCACTAATCAAATATGAATGAGTATGTTTATGTGTGTGTGAATGTACTATTTGGATAATAAATGAATGTGGGAGACGTGTGAATATGCAAAACAATAAGAAAATAAAGCAAAAAACGGCGATGGCATGTCTGTAAAAGCAATCTAAGGCAATAAAAAGACAAATAAGCCAATGATTTATGGATTTTTTCTTCATATGTTTAATGGTGTGTGTGTGTGTTTCCTGAGTAAATGTGATTTTCAAGTAGTCAGAGTCAGTTGTTGATGATTGACTCTATGACAATTATTATCGTAAAACAAATTTGTTGGCAGGGTGAGATAAAATGTGTTCTTTTGACATGACTGTGTTTAGGGAAGGGTTCTTATGTATACCAATAAAACACAGCATGAGAGTGAGTTTTTGATAAACAAAGAGCTATAAAGGAGTACTTGAACCTAGCTAAATACTGAATATATATTTAGTATATATATATATATATATATATTTTCTACTATTAAAATGCTACTGAGATATATTTCTAAGATTTTATATCGTTAAAATTAGTTCTAATAGACTTTTTAACCAAATTTTAGATTAATAAATATTTGGTCATATAGATCCTTAAGTCCAAGAGTAGCAAAAATAATTGTAATTCACAGGTGTGAATTTATACAATACCTTACCCATGTAATACGAAATTTGCATAATTCCATAGGGCATTTTTCATGAACCTTCAAAATGCCGAAAATCGGTGATGCCTGTATTTTAGAAATATACCATATGGATTAAAGGATGCACGCCTGCTGGAATAATGTCAGATGGCAAGCTACTCCTAGTCATATAGTACATTGTGTTTATCATTGATACTCTTAAATGGTATGACAAAAGAAAAGACGGGAAAAGGTTGATGTTAAGTATTGTAGCTTAGATTCACCTACAATCAGTGTCCTTGATGTCAGAAAAATATATATACCTTTATTTATTTAAGGTTCATCCTCGCCTAAGGCTGCTATGGCTGTTATTAAAAATATATAACAAATACTCGCATAAGGTCCCTAAGATCTTTTAAAATATTCATTAACAAATATTTATTTAGACTCCTCGTCTAGTCTTCTCCATAAACAAATGCTCATAAAAAGCCATCTAAAGCTTTATGGTCTTTATAGCAAATTTATTACAAAATCAACACCTAGGCCTCTTACAATACAAAATTCATCTAATGCTCTTATGGTCCTTTAAAAAATAAAAAATCCAGCTCATAAGGCTCTTATCCTCGCTTAAAGCTCTTATGTTTATTTAAAATGCTCGTTTAAGGATATTATGGTCCCGCCAAAAATGTTAGTACACAATTTTAACTTAAAGATGCCTAAACTGCATATATTTCTTCAAAAGCTGTTTATTCAAAAAAAGTATGCTCCATTCGCTTCAATACACTTCTCCCAACGAGATTTTAAAGCGTAGATGCCTGTCTTAAAAAAATTTTGGTCTTTAGAATTAATAAACTCTGATATCAAGTTTTTTAAACTGTCTTCATTTTCATAGTGCTTGCCCCTTAAAACCAGCTCTAAATGATTGAAAAAATTGAAATCGGTCGGCAAGAGATCCGATGAATATGGTGGATGGTGAATGTTGTGGAAAAAATTGGCTTTCGGTGAAATCGGGTTAGCAATGATGGCATACGTTTAACCGATCCAGCTTATTTCGCGCTGTCAGTGCGTGCGGTACCCATTGGTCCATCTTTTTAACCTTGCCAATCTTAGAAAGGTGTTTCAATATCGTTGTATGGTCAACTTTCATCCTGATAGCAAGTTCCCTCGTGGATACGGCTGGATCCGCTTCCACTAGAGCCTTCAGGTCATCATTCTTCACAGACGTTTTGGGTCTTCCGCGCGGCTCATTTTGCAGTGAAAAATCGCCAGTCCGAAATTTTTCCAACCAACGCTGCACTTTCCGATCGTTGACCGTATTCTCCCCAAAAGCTTGGTTTATGTTTCGTGCAGCTTTTGCAGCACTATTACCAAGTTTGTACTCATATAAAAAAATGACGCAAATGTCGGCAGAATTCATATCGGCAATAAACTCAAAAGAAATAACAAAAGGGAAGACCTTCGAGAAAACCTATTTTGCTAAAATGAGTCCCAATGGACAATACGACTATGAATGAGGTTATGCCAAAGACAAGTATAACGAAAACAGGAAGACGTCCGCATGTAAAGAAAATCCGACATTTCATACGCACCAACCTAATCAAATTGAAGCTAAGGGCTACTCTTGCCCTTTGGAAAATATTCATAAAAATCCACGTATACGGCTTCTATGCGCCTTAAAAAATATTCATAAAAAATTCAGGCCTCAGTTCATATAGACCAATATTACAAAAAGTACATTTCCTAAATATGTCCTCTACACTCCGAATTTATACCTGCTATTCAAAAAAGAAGGTTAAAGAAGTTGTCTACTTATAATTGTTTTCCGTTTCATACTCTTTATTCACTCTTGGCGTGGTGAGCACTTCATCTGCTTGGAATTCCCTAAATTATCAGCTCACCCTCGTCTAAGGAAATCACAAATGATATATATAGTTTGCTTAACAACAATGTAAGCTTACAACAACAATGTTTTTCCTAAAATTTATAACTTTGGTGATAATTAAAACAACACTTGCTGGATATCCACCTTCTACTTACTACTCATTTCCATTCTATCCTTGTCCTGGTATAAAATTAACTACAAACAAAAAGTGATGAATATGCAATTTAAGTTATGTGGCGTGAATGAAACACAGACTTACTGACTGGCTCACCGACTGAGTATAGGTGGCAGTGTGCGTGAATGCAAGGCATTTTTATATACTCTTAATAAATTTGAATATGATTTGATGGCACTCCTTTATTTCTGGTTCTTAAATATAAATATATGTATGTATGCACACACATTCGTACATATTAAAATTACAATAAAACTATTGTAGTTGTATTACTACCTGAAGTCCTGCAAACATAGAATAGTCGTCCTGGTGGTCCTTTGTTATTGAGTAAAAATGCATGCATGCCACTATCATAATTGCTGGCTATTGTTGAGCATAGTCACGAACTTAATAGAAACAAACAAAAAAATAATTTTTTTCATTTACTTCTTTCTTTTTGCTTCCTACATTTTATTTCTCAATTTGTTATTACTTCTATTTAGCTTTTGTTGTCCTTTTTGCTGTTGTTGCCACATTTTTTTGTCATTTGCAGTGAGTGGGTACAATGTGTGATATTTGTTGCTTTACTTTGTTGATTGCGTGACATGATTGTTTGATTGTTGTTGTAGGTGTTTTTGCTACAACCATTCATACATAGTTACAATACATGTGTATGTGTGTCCATGTTGTCATATGTAGCAAGAAAGGAATCCTTTTAACTGTTTTATTTAACTCTGGTTTTGTAACCCTCAGTGTGTGTGTCTCTCTCTCTCTTCCTACCCTGGGGTTGGCACTCTGGGTGCATCTTTGTCTGCTGCAGCTCACTACCATTGCATTACAACTTTGTCTACAGGCAATGATTGTTGATTTGTATTGTTGAGTTTTTATCTCTTCCCTAATGACAACATGTCTGTGGATTTTTGTAAAAACACTCCAGTACTGATTGGCTTGCTGAGATAAAATGTAAACACATTGTTTTTTGTTGGTTGGTTTAAAATATATTAAATCATCGAATAGTTTTGGGAATTTATATATACATACGTGCATTATTTATGACTTCCCAAAGAACCGGAAATCAATCGAGACATTTATTTCATTGGTTTTATGTTTGTATTTGCAGGAGCGATGCTTTGGCAACCTTATTCTCAGCACTATATGGCAAATTATTGGTTGTTATGGGTATTGCATTCCCAATGGCTGAAGTTATCTCAACATATATACCACCTTCATTCTACGAGGTAAGTACAAATAACTTGTAATGAAATTTCCCAAATCCACTTTACAACTATATATAAAATTATAACAAATAGGTGGACCATTGGACCATCAGCCTCTTTGTAACTTCCTATATTTAGTAATTAGTTTTTTTTTTGTCTAAAATCAGTTATAATAAAAAAACTGTGAGGAAAGTAGTAAAGTCGGACTGGGCCGACTATATGATACCCTTCACAACTTTGGGTATGTTGTACATATGTATCCTTACAATTGCATGTCACTGTTCCCTCAGATTGGGCAGATTGGTGCATCTGCACTAATTTCAACAAAACGCAATAACGCCATTAAAGTCTCAATTGGATACGTTGTACAAAATTTCGTGTTAATCGAACAAACATTAGGAGTTTGGTGAACCATTTATGTAAAATCGGACGAATACATATGCATATGTTGGAGCTATATGGAAATCTAAATCGATTTTCCTGAAACTTACCACACATCATTCTAGACCCGATTCAGTGCGGTATGCCAAATTTCGTGCAAATCGAAGGATACACTACCTTTGGTGCACTATTTTTATAAAATCGGACGAAAATATATATGGGATCTATATAGAAATCTGAACCGATTTTCCCGAAACTTAACACACATCACTATAGACTTCATTCAGTACGCTGTGTCACATTTAAGGACTTTGGTGCACTATTTACCTAAAATCGGACGAATATATATATGGGAGCTATATCTATATCTGAACCGATTTTCTCGAAACTTAACACACATCACTATAGACTTCATTCAGTACACTATGCCAAATTTCGTGCCAAGTATATATAGATACTTTGGTGCACCATTTACATAAAATCGGATGCAAATATATATGGGAGCTATATAGAAATATGAACCGATTTTCCCGAAACTTATACTCATCATTTTAGACTCAATTCAGTACGCTATGCCAAATTTCGTGGAAACGAAGTATATATCGGGACTTTGGTGAACTATATACCTAAAATCAGACAAAAATATATAAGGGAGCTATATCTAAATCTGAACCGATCTTCACGAAATTTAACACGCATTATTCTAGAGTTAATTCAGTACGCTATGCCAAATTTCGTGCAAATCGAAGTATATATAGGGACGTTGGTGCACTATTTACCCAAAATCGGACGAAAATATATATGGGAGCTATACAGATCACTCTAGACTTAATTTAGTACGACATGCTAAATTGGTACAAATCGAATGATATATAAGTACTTTGGTACAACATTTACCTTAAATCGGACGAAAATATATATGGGAGCTATATATAAATCTGGACCGATCTGGTGCACTATTTACCTAAAATCGGTCGAAAATATATATGTGAGGTATATCTAAATCTGAACCGATTTTCTGGAAACTTAACACACATCACTCTAGACTTAATTTAGTACGATATGCTAAATTGGTGCAAATCGAAAGATATGTTGCAACATTTACCTTAAATCGGACGAAACTATACATGGGAGCTATATCTAAATCCGAACCAATTTTTCCCAATTTCAATAAATGTTCGTCCTTGGGCCAAATTTCATCCAAACAGACGACTTAAAAAGTGAGTCTATACATATTCTCAAAAGGAACTATGTGTCTATCTCGTTTCCTTTTGCCTGTTACAAATATATGCACAAAGACATAATACCTTGTACCACAGAGTGGTGAAGGGTATAACATAAACTCGTTTTAGAGTTGAAATCGTACTTATTACTAGTTTTTACGCATTTTTTTGGTACTACTATGTACTAAATATGGTACAATTTGAATTGTGTAGAGTTTTAATACTGAAACTTGAACTTAGGATCACTGTGGAGGTGTAGGTTTGGGTCAAGTAGGAAATTTGGAAAATTCGTACTACTGTGCACTAAATTTGGTACAATTTGAATTGTGGGTGTGAACCGATAGAGTTGGAATCCTGAAAGTTGGAGTTAGGATCATTTATGGGATGTAGGATTGGGATATGTAGAATGTTTTGGAATTGGGATATGTAGAAAGTTTTGGAAATTCGTACTAATGTGTACTAAATGGTACCAAATGTGTATTTGGGTTTACCGATAGTGCTGGATCCCTGAAATTTGGAAATAAGGTTACTGTTGGAGTATAAGATACTTATGGACACTAAATTGTACTAAATTTGGTACAAATTTTGGTTAAACTGATAGAGCTGGGATCCTGAAATTTGGAGTTAGGATCATTGTTGGAGTGTAGGATTGGGGTATGTAGAAATGTTGAAAATTCGTACTAATGTGTGCTAGAACTGGAATCTTAATATGTGGAGTTAGGATCACTTTTGGGGTGTTGGAATGTGGTATGTAGGAAGCTTTGGAAATGTGTACTAAATGACACTAAATTTGGTACAATTGGGATTCAGAGTAAACCGATAGAGCTAGAATCCTTAAATTGGGTAATCAGATTTCCATTTGGTTCCATGAGGTAGGTAGTATGTGTACTAAATGGTAGGAAATAATATACAAATTGGATTTTGGTGAACCGATAAAATCCTTAAATTTGGAATTAAGATTGGGTTATGTGGGAAGTTTTAAATGTTTTTGTTAACGTAGGTAGTAGAGTTGGGCAATCTATTGCTCTATATAGAGAAATGTAGATACGACTATAAAAAGACAATGAAGCGGTTCTTTTATACGGAAGCTAGAAAAAAATCATTGTCCCATATCCCAAGAAGTTGTTTTCTTTTTTTTTATTCTATGAGAAAGTGAAATACCAAAACACAGCCACTTTGGTTAGAATATACGGTTATCTTAAATCATTCGGGAATATAGGGACTACACGTCAAAACATATACCCCATATATTAATAAACATCTGCCAAGAGGTGGTATTTTATCCTCCGAAGTCTGTAATATTAAATTACAACCACTTTGATTGGAAAATCGGTGAATGGGAACAGGATTTTTCCCATTGGAATGATGTCAAATTACTAAACTGGCATCACAACATGTTTTCTTTGTTTCCAACAAATTTCCTTAATATCCCTATTTTTTCTACACATGAATTAATTTCCCAATGACAACAAGCATTCAACAACAATATAATATCAACATTTTCTCAAATACACCAATGTGCAGCCATTCAAAGCTAACATAACGTCTTTGCAAACGATAATGATTTTCATAGTTCTCCGTTGTGAAAAATACTTGTTTATCGATACACATACAAACTACATAATCTCCCCTAAACAATGGTACAAGTTTGATGTCAATACGTTCATTCATTACTGAGTTATAGCCATTTAAAGTTAACCTTGTGTCAAAATATAGCGGCTACAGGATTCTGTTGGCCTGTTATCTCAAATTGGAAAAATGACATTTTCACAAAAGCGAAAAAGCACAACACAGCAGCATCATTGCCACATTGTTCGATTTTTATTTGATTTGATGGTTGGCTTACAAATTCTGGGTATACTTTCAGGCGCATCATTTAAAATGATATCAATGTGAAAGTTATCTGGCTCGTTATTTTAATGTAACGCCTAAAAGTATGCTCAGAATTTATAAACTAACATTAAAACACTATGGTTGCGATCTGGTAACATTGCAGTATTTTATGTTTTTGCCCATTTGCGATTTCTTCATTTTTCCATTTTGAGGTACCAGGCCAACAGAATCGTGTAGCCGCTATACTTTCACACAAGGTCTACTTGAAATGGCTATAACTCAGTAATGAATGAACGTAATGACATCAAACTTGTACCGTTGGTTAGGGGAGATTGTGCAGTTTGTATGTGTATCGATAAACAAGTATTTTCACAACGGAGAACTATGAAAATCATGATCGTTTGCAAAAAACGTAAAATTAGCTTTGAATGGCGGGAAATTGGTGTATTTGAGAAAATTTTGATATTAGATTGTTGCTGAATGTTGGTTATCAATGGAAAATAATTCATTTTGTGAAAAACAATAACGATTGTCGGAAAAATCGAGGTAATAAAGAAACCATGTTGTGGTGCAATTTTATCAAATGGACATCATTTATATCGGCAAAATGCTGTTCACATTCGCATTTTCGAATCAAAATGGTTAAAATTTGATATTTAGGATTTCAGGGGATAAAATACCACCTCTTGGCAGATATTTAATAGTATAGGAGTATATGTTTTGACGAATTGTTCCTATATAAATAAGTGTCCCGAATGATTTTCGATATTTTGAAGGTCCTCACCGTAGTTTCCTAACCAAAGTAGTTATAATTGGGTATTTCGGGTTTTCAAAGTATAAATGAGCTACAGGGGTCGATGTTTTTATCTAGCTTCTATATAATGGTAACGTCTCATTTTTGGTATTTTGAGAGTTATATCTAAATGTTTCAATGTTAAAGGCTGGAAGAATATCCACCCTCCCCCTTTTGTAATAAACTTGATGCTCCTCGCCCTGAGTTCAAAAACCTGGAAAAATATTTTCAATATTTGTCCATGTTTTTACATAGCTGCCCTCTTTTAGGCATATTTAAGGTTATAGCCGCATTATCGAACCGAGGCTTCAGTCTATTAACATTTCGGTTTACCAGAGTATAAAATATATTTCGGTCAGAATATATATTTTTTTAACAAAAATAAATATAATTATATAACAATGGATCTGCCTCATTTTATTCCTAAGTATTTTCTAGAGATGAAAACCCCACTAGCAGAAATTTTACGATGTAGGCTAATGACTTGACACATGGGTTAAAGGTTTTTTGAAAATTCGAACCCCAGTGGCTGAAAATTTAGCTTTTCGGGTTCTCAGAGGTTAAAATACATCCTTACCGAAATTTTTCAATATTGGTCTATGTTTGGACATAACGTGGAATATATGGAAATTAGGAAATGAAAGCCCGCAGTATGTCAATTAGTCAATTTTTCTAACTATCTGTTCTGGATGTCTTTTATGTTTGAGCAATTTCCGAAATAAAGTAGCCCATCCAAATGTCAAGCCTGTCTTCATTCATAACTCTTCCCTGTATACTATTATTATATTAAA